AAGAATATTAAGTCCTACCTATATTTAAGTCAGATCAACTGAACAAGTTGAATGACTTATAATGGATTAATTATAGTTGGATATGATGAATTTTATATATATAATTATGGTGACATGATATGAGTTTGAGTCTTAGGATCTTGGTTAAGGTGCGTATATTGCCTAGGATGGATAACTAGATATAGTAGACATCTGGGTGCCCTGGTAGCTCTAGGTACTCATGCCCACTTTATGTGCGATTTGCATGTTGCCTTCTATTCAGGTTGAGATAGACCTATTGTCTAGTGAGCATCCTATAGTGTGTATATATATATATATATGCAGACTATTAGTTATTGTTGGATTGACTAGGATGTATACATGTATTGGATCTCTGCTTGGATTGTAGTAGAGTAGAATTTGTTTGTGGGTCTAACCCACCATTATTTTTTAGGTATTCTTTAAGTGTAGAGGATTGTTCGTGCTGAGCAGGGATCAGTCTACTTCACTCTTCCGATTTTATATAGGATATTCATTTATGTTTCATGTAGACAATCATTACTGTTACTTGTTCAGCTTTAGTTTTTTCTAGGGGTCCACACATTGTAAATTCCCTAGTTGTATTAATGGAGGATTAATTATATCAGAATTATTTTATTATTAATAAGAAATTATTCTGAGGAGTTATTGGATTATTATTTTAGTTTCTTTCAGCAAATTATTTATTCTTATTTATCATATTTGTATTGTGTTTGATTATTATCGATTTGTTTTTGATATCCTCAGGTATTCGGGGGTGGGCCTCGCCAATCTGCATTTGGAAATCTGGGGGTATCACATTATTAGCTTTGCTATTTTATGCTTGTGTTTATTTTCTTGATTAAGTTTTACGGGTAGTTGTGTTTGAGCTAATGTACAGACTACAAGTTGCTACAAGTGTTGAAGGTTCATAAGATTCAAGAAAATTTCCGCGGTTTTATTTCCTTTAACAATCATTGTAAGTTACTTTTCTGCTTGGGTAGATTGCTGAATTGTTTTTAGGGTTTTGTCACGAAATTGCCAAAGAGGGAGATTATGAGAAATATATTTTATAATTAGCCAATTTCGTTACCAAAACAAGTTTGATCGAGTTGTAATTTTTCGGTTCAAAATTTCAAAGATTGAAGATCGGATGAGGATTGAAAGAAGTTTAAGTGTTAGTGGTATACTGCACTCTGGGATGATGAGAACAATGCACGAAAGGTATGTGAGTGAGTGAGAACACTTGGAAGTTTTAGAAGTTTGAAGTGTTAAGGAAATTTACATTCTGTCCTTTTGGTACTGGTATCCAAAATCTAAAACTGGTAGGAAATTTACTTTTATCCTTTTGGTTCTGGTAGCTAAAATCTAATACTGGTAGGAAAATAGCAGATTCACTTCTGTCCATTGGGAACCGGTTGGAACTTCTTGGTACCGGTAGCCAAAGGCTGAAATAGTAGCAAGAGTACGTTGGAACATTTCTGACCTTCTAGAACCGATAGCCACATTCTAGTACTGGTTCAAGAAGTCTTGATCAGTATAAAAATTCAGTTTCCTTATCCGTTTTAATTCCTTTTTGGACCAAACTTCCTTCCAAGTCCTATGTATGAAATTTTCTATATTTTCGAAAGGATTAGGACATTTTAAACTCTATATAAACCTTGGTAGTTATCTAGGTTTATTTATAGCTTTAGGGAACATTAATTCTATATTTTGAGAAAGCCATTTAGAGAGAGAAAATTCAGAAAATCAAATCTGATTATTCTGAATTTGTTTATGAGAGCACACACACATATTCATGAGTGATTTTGTGGTGTTGTTCTCTATTTCATCGGAATTGGAGCTATACTGAAGATTCAGAGATTCTGAATGAAAAACAGGATTTAATTCTTCTACATCGAGTTCAGATCTTGAAGAACAGAATTAAAAGCGACCATACTTTGAAAGGGTAGGAGCATTCGAGGAGTGTTGTCTGATCTACCTGCTACTCTTCTACAGATATCAAGCATAAGCCTAAAGTCAAGTTGTTATTGAACGGGGAGTCGCAAAGCCAGAGGATTGTCAGTAATTGGTGTTTGGTAGAACGATAGGGTATGAGCCAGAGTCAAAGTTCAGTGTATTTTGTTTCAAACATTGTGGATCGGTTTACTTTGGACTGAACAATCCATGAGGTTTTTCCCACGCAAACAGTTGACGTATTTTATCAACTAGGGTTTCTTCGCTAAATATCCTAGTGCAATCTCTTTAACCATAACTTACTTTACTTTTCAGTATTTATATTTATGATTGCGGATGATTAATTGATCAGATAATTTAATCAATCATAAATTGAGCAAGTTGACCTAATAATCAGATCTAAGTCATTAAAGGAGTTAATCATAATTAAAATCAACTAATAGCTTCCGCACCCCGCGTTAACATTGTTTTCACACCCTCAACCACATGACCCTCTTAAAAACAATTTATCCCTTTGGTACACCTTTCATAGTTTCGAAGGGAACTACTTGCAAACTGATTCCTCCTTAGTTAGGATACGTAAGTAGCCTAGATTAAAATTAGGTTCGGTCACTCCCCCAAAATGGGACCCTTTAGAAATGATTCCTCCCTTTGGTACTCCTTTCCTAGTTGCCTTTTGTAGTTCTTAGGGGAACTACGTGCAATATGATTCCTCCTTAGTTAGTATATAGGCAGCCTAGATCAACATTAGGTTCGGTCATCCTGCTAGCCATGGGACCCTTTTAGAAATAATTCCTCCCTTAGGTACTCGTTTTATAGTTCCCTTTTGTTGTTCTTGGGGGAACTATGTGCGACTTGATTCCTCCTTATTTAGGATTTGTAAGCAACTTAGATCAAAATTAGGTTCAATCACTCCTTTAACCACGGGACCCTCTTAAAAACAGTTCCTCCCTTAGGTACTCCTTTTGTAGTTGTGGTTCCTAAGGGAACTATATGCGACTTGATTCTTCCTTAGTTAGGCTATGTACGAAGCCTAGATCAAAATTAGGTTCAATCACCCCTTAACCACGGTACCCTCTTAGAAACAATTCCTTCCTTAGGTACTCCTTTCGTAGTTACTGGGGGAACTACACACGACTTAATACATAATTAAGTAGCATAGATTAAAAGTAAGTTCGGTCACTCCCCCATTCATAACCTCTAGGACTTCATAAGACCTCCCTAAGCTCTCATGTCATCCTTTTAGACTCTTATCTTATTTCCCCTTCTTTTTAGACATGTATGTTCTTTTCCCTCATTTTGACTTGAACTACGTTTAACAAGATTTTTATCATAACATCCATGAATAAGATACGTAGGAAACTCGAATATGTTTTAGATTAAGTCAACCCGTTTTGCATTCACTCCTTCTTTACATGCATCCCTTCTCATCTAGGCACTAGATCTTTTCTCTCTAGAATTGGTTTTGTCCTTAGATGACATTTCACTCACAAGCAATATGAATTGTAAAGTAAGTAACTATACTTGATGCGGGCATCTTGGGGTGCCTAACAACTTCCCCAAGGGTTAGTTAACCCCCAAACCTATTGATTTAGATCCGTTCACTAGTGGAGAGTCACAATATGGCCCACATTACATTCCTACCCATTTTTCTCGTTCAAGCTTCCATACGTGACCTGCACACAAGAACTCAATGTTAGGTGGCGACTCCAAACATAGAGTTCTTGGGTTGCCTCACAACTTCTCCAAGTGTTAGTTAACCCCCAAACCCTTTGATTTGGATCCGCTGACTAGTGGAGAGTCACAATAGGACCCACATTGCATTCCTACCCATTTTGCTCATTGGAGCTTCCTTAGGTGACTTACACACTAGAACTTAATGTTAGGTGGCGACTCCAAACATAATGGTCCTATCATTCGCGCATTAACACTTTCAACACCCATCGCACTTAGGTTCATAATTGTTTTCTGACAGCTACAACCTCCTCCTGACCACTTGGGGAGGCAGAAATGTTCAGGGGTCTAGAGCCCAAAATTTTGGGTCAGGACAGTAACTTTACTCGAGTTATAATTGCATGACAAGATTTTGAGATATGTTTAAATTTATTATTGTTTTATGTTTTTAAATAAGGTCGCGATATTAGCACTCCAAAATAGTACTCTAGCGTTCCAATACTGGTATTAGTAAAATAAAATGCCAAAAAGGCCGTTGTTGTATTTTAACGGGTTTCCATCATCTTTTGTTCCCATTCTTATCGTAGTTGTCTCACTTCCTCTTTCCTGTTCCCATCTACATCCTTTTTTTTTTCTTTTTCATTTTTCTTTTTTTTCTTTTTTGTCCCAATTATTAATTCCAGATTCTTCTTCTAACTATTTTTTCAAAATTTGAGGAGCTCGTTAGAAATTTGAATGCAAAATCAGCTCCATTGTTGTTTGTGTCATTTGTTAATACTTTTTCAATTGTCATACATATATGAAGACAAATATGAAGTCAATCACAGAACAATTAAAAGGCTCAAGGATCTTGTCAAATTGGCATCATCCCTAGAATTGGCAAATTAAAAATAAAAAAACAAAAACATAGGACTAAAACTAAAGAGAATAAATTAAGTTGTTAGGATTGACAAGAATATTTGGTCAATGGCTACATCGACATGGATAATGTTTCAGTTTGGGTTCAATGCATAGATAGTTTGGCATAGTTGTGTTACAAGCCTTTCTTGTTCATCAGCATGTGAAATCAAGGAGCCATGAAAGGAATGAAGCGTTAGGGTTTGGTGGAAGAGAGAAAAGGCAAGGAGCCATGGAGGAAGGAAGCACTAGGGTGGTTTCTTGGAAAAGAGAAAAGGAAAGAACGATTTTTAGGGGAAATGAGAAAAGAGGTAAGAGAGGCCTTGTCTAAGAACGTTAGATTGGGGCTATTTTTTTTTAGATCGCCAATATCATCACCTTGTTAGATATGTTAATGTTTTATATATATATATATATATATATATATATATATATATATATATATATATATTTCAAAATCTTTATAAAACACGAACCTTGTATCTTTCTCTGTACAACTTTATAGTTGCTCCATGGGATAAGATTTGGTGGTGACCAACCAGGTAGGGTTCGGTTGCCGAGTTCCCACACGTGCAATTTCCAATGTAGTTAGAACATCGACCTGGTGCATACACACCAGTAGCATATCCAAATACAGTAAATTGATATGGTTCATTCAATGTCAACCAATGCTTAACTCGATCACCAAATGTTCTGAAGCAAAAGTCTGCATAGTTGCGAAAATCATCCCTGTTCAACATATTATCTAATGTGTAAATGAATTGTATGTGCATATCATGTTGTGATAGTTTTATATATATAATGTGTAAATGAATTTAACCTACACAATATTTTGGCTTAAGAATCCACCATATTCATCAATGAGTGCTTGTGGAATATCCCAGTGAAATAGAGTCACATAGGGTTGCAAACCTGTGTGCAAAATGAAAAGACAAAACATTATACAAAATTACAATGATCTACCCTATTTTTGCCAATTTCGATTCAAGGCCGGCCTAATATAATTTGAGACAAAAGTGGCATTTTTTAATATGTAATGTATTAATAATCAAATAGTAGTTAATGATATTTATTTAAAAATTATCTTTCTTGGTTTTTGAGATACAAAGTTACTAATTAGATTATTGTATTCAAATTTTGTTAAAATATTTTTTCAATAAATAATATAGCCAGTCCATTTAATCTTTCTTGTAACATAGCAATATTTATTTTTGTTCTTTTTCGTTTTTGTTTGTTTGTTTGTTTGTTTGTTTGTTAATAATCATAAAGAATTTTCTTATCACACATTTGATTATCATTATAACTCACTATTATATAATCTTCTAATTCTTTTAGAAGAATTTTCTTATCACACATTTGATTATCATTATAACTCACTATTATATAATCTTCTAATTCTTTTAGATGACTTTGTATTTTCACCAAAAAATTTTGTTATGTTTTAATTATTAGTTGTAACAAATTTATCAAGATTCCCTTTTAGATCGAATTAATTTATCTATTCTTCTCTTCTTTTTAAGTTTTTCATATCCGGCTTCATAGTTTCTAATAGACATATTCAACAGTATAATAATAATAATAATAATAGTCAAAACTCACAAACAAAAATTAATAAAATTATAAAATAATTAAAGTTAAAAACAATAGAACCTAATTTAGAAAAATTATATCTAATGAAACAACAAATTATTCAACAAAATAAAAGTGCGTTTAAAATCTTCAGATGGAACAAAATAGTAAGATTGTAACGAGTATTGAATGGAGAAGAGAAAAAAATTATAATGAGAGAGGAGAGAAACGACGTAATGAGAGGGGAGGAAAAATATGTGAGGAACAAGGATAAAAAAGAAGATAAAAGTTGAAGGAAAATATAATTATTCAATAATTACCAATGTGCTGCATTTGGTGTGCAGGAATGGAATGGAATAGGAATGGAATGAGAATGTAAATGGAATGGCCATTCTCATTATATTGTTTGGTTGTAAATATAAAATATATAGGAATGGTGTGACGACCCTGGATTTTTTAACCCAGTGTGTCCTGTGGGACCCGAAACGGATCCAAAATGCGGAAGTAAAAGAAGGAAGGTGACCTCTAGAGATGTACGTCATCCCTAAGGCACCAAAATGACTCCATATGAAGCTATGGAACTCAAATGAGCCAAGCAATGAAACAAGGACGCCAAACCCGAAAAGAAATGACCAAGGGCAAAATGGTCATTTCACACTAAAATGGGTGCCACCGTGCATACCATTGGAAAGACAACAAAAAATTAACAAGAATAGACTCAAGAATCGCATGATTTGGAGTCCGGACGATTAAGATATCAAGTTCTGAAGTCGAAGGAAGGGAAACCCTATCATGGTTCGAACCAAAAACAGACACAACCTTACTAAAACTTGAATAGCTTGAGTTTCAAGAAGAATCTGAAGCTCTAATTGGTACCATTGGAAATTTTATTTCGACGCGGTCAATTTAGACTCAAGAACGGACTAATTCGAAGTTAAAACAAAGAAGATATGATAGTTTGAAATCGAAGGTGCAGTGCTGAACCAAGACACAAACACACACACACATGAACAGTACCTCGAGTGCTTGTGCAAGGGCTTTGAGTGCTCAAATGGCACACGTCCAAGGGCCAAAACTCTCTACCCCATCTTCGAGCGCTAGAACCCCCTTTGGAGCGCTAGAACTGCTGTAGGCTACACCTGACATGCAACCTTGAAATGCAATTTTGAGGACTTTCTAGGCCTTTTTGAAAAAAACACAAAGAAGAAACCTCCCTCAAAATTATTTTTTCTAGTCAACCATGTCAAGACCAACCTTAAATTTTTTAAGTGAAAATCCCAAAATGCCCTTATGGTCAGTTTAGGCTCAAAACGGCAAAAATGTGAAAATAACTCAGTCCTCAAAGGAAGTTGTCAATCCACGGAAAAAAGTCTCGGAAACCATCCCCGAGCACTCAAGATGACACTAAGTGATGAGAAACCGAATTCAGAAAGGAAAAGATCAACGGAAAAAAAAATATCCGTAAAATTTGAGAAAAGGAAAGGAAAGAAAATGACCGGGTCATTACAACATTCCCACCTAAAAAAGGATTTCGTCCCCGAAATCCAGCCCTAACCAACAAAAGGCGAAACCAGGAAAACTACAGAGTACATCTTCAAGTATCCCACACAACACGCTACACCTGCGACCTCAAAGTTGAAAGGAACCCCACAACCTAGTGTCATTTGCACCCACGTGCTCATGACAAGACAACCTCTCAAAAGGAAAATGACTAATTGGCCACACAACAAGTCTAAACTCACACACAGAACTCAAGGTCAAACAAAGGAACGAAAGACCATAACCGTAAGCATCCCTCCTGACGAACTATCATACAGATCTGAAAACAACCACCAAAAGAACTCCAAGATATCCACATATCAAATTAGGGTACAGAATAAACACAACATGGCAGTACGAATAGTGACCAAAACCCGCCCATGACGTACTCAAATGTGTGGTAGCAATGACAGTACCTAGTGCCCGCCCACACTTACTCGTCAGTAAGGTAGCATCGACGGCAACTAGTACTCGCCCATAACACACAACTTTATACGGTAGCATGACAGTATAAGGCACTAGTTCATAACCTGCCCCCCACTAGGTCTACCCATGAAACCTCTCAATACCAATGATATCAATGTCAAAAATGATCATTACCAAAAGCACTACGGGGACCAACATTTTGTGAGAGTTGAGATATGGTCCAAAGATGTCTAGCCGGACCATCCTGGCCAATCTCAAAACTCTGACAACAATGCTATAGGTACCGCTATGCTTAAGGCCTTAAATCCTCAATGCAATAAAACCAATAACTCAATGTCTCAAAACACTACTATCAATAATATCAATCACGAATCCAAAGCCTGACAAGCAAAACAGCGTCTTCAAAAATCCCAGGTATTATCCTGAAACAGATCAACTATAAGACTACTCACTGTAATCAAACATCGGATCAAAATCCCTAACATGGATAACTAAATCCTCGAAATATAAGTCCCCTAAGTGGCACACACATCAAAATCCTGACAACCAAGGTCATAAAATGAATCTCTCAAAACCGTGCTTGGCAACACCAAGCTAAATCAAAATTCCTCAATTTTCCATCGAACTATAAACAATCACTGGAATAACAATTCCTCAAAGCCACGCCTAGTCATAACTAAGACGAGAAAACTCCACAAGCAAGCCACATCCAACATCGATCCTTCAAAACTCCTCATAAGAGTCAACCACATCAAGATCTCCAAAACTGAAACAAGTCTCCAAACAACATTCTCAAAAGAGTATCGAGCTCACCTCACGAATCAAACAAATCCTCAATCAAATGGACACAAGTCCCCTTAAAATGATCTCACACCAATCCACTCACTCTGAGCACCACAACCCATTAACAACCACAGCAAAAATCCCTAAGGGAAGACACGAAAGAAAAGGAACCACCAGTCCTAAAAAGGATAACACCACGGCCCTATCTCAAAAGGAAAGACAACAAGGTCAAAAACTTCACCCCCTACATAGAAGTAAGTCGACCAAAATCAACCAAATCCTCACCAAGGACTCAAGACAACAATGGTGATCCCCACGGACCAGCCAAACCCAAAACCGTGCACAAGGCGACGAAGAGAAGAGACTCACTCCTTGTGAAGTCCCTTACTTGAACCAAGAAAGAGAAGAAACCCTATTCTCCCACAAATGTCAACACGACAAATAAGAAAAGGGAACAAAAGGGAGAACCAAATATGGAAGTAATGCATATGACAAGGACTGCAACTACCAAATAAATAAATCTACTCACATAGATAAAAATCAAAGGTACATGCAACATGTCTCCATAAAAGCACAAAATCATGTCACTGAAAAACAGTAACAACATGGCATATCTAAGCATATAAAGAAGTCATGCTAATGTCACATAATAAGGAAACAAATGTGGATACACTTCCACCTACTTATGCATCACAACATCACAAATCATACAACTAACATGGTAGTAAACGAAACTACAGAAAACAAAATGATGCAACAATGAACCCTACGGACACCGTGTCCTATAGTGTCTAGATAAAAGAAAAGATCAATCCTAGCCATAACTATCTCCAAAAACCAATGCGATAACAACCTGTTTCAAAACAAATGTGAGCCTTTACCACAATGGTAAGACTCCAACAATCCAACTCCGAATCAAAAGGTGACACTATAAATGACACTAACAATGCAATGCTCTCACCAACCCAAAACATCGATCAATCGACTCAATCCCAAAAACATCATCACACAAAGAGAACTCAAACAAAATGGCTACTTTAGCCATACAATCAGACAACTGAATCAATCTCCAAAATCATCCTCAAAACGACCATCAATCACCGTCTTAACACCAGACGCTCAAAACAAAACTCACATCATCGCCAACCAAAAGGACTACGCCTATCGGAACAAAAACCGACATTGATTCCATCCGAACTGAGCTCGTAGCTAGCCAGTACGGTAGCATGACAGTGCCATGCACCCGCCCACAAACGTACCCGCCCACGAAAATTGCAATCTCAGAGGAACCTTCCAAAACAACCAAGGATCCTAAGAGGTTCATAACCTCATCGTGGCCCAAAACCAACAAATCCAGCACAACGGCAACGCCAAATGACTCACCTCACGAGAGCCCAAACAAAAGGTGACTCACCACCTACCTTAAAACCAATGTTAGGTCGACAATAACCTACATTACCATGAAACTGTGACTACAATCACCATCAACCTCAACTCGTGCCTCAATGACCAATCCCGTGTCATGCCGAATATGCAACACAGTTATTCATATACAATTCTAATCTAGCACACATCACATGTCATGCTCTTTACATTAGAATAAAATCATGCTTAAACAAATGGCATACTACATATACCACATAAGCATATAAACATGTTATCAAATCAAAACATGTTATCATAAAGTATATAAGCACATAGAGCATGGCAACACAAGCATGATATGTACCCAAAACCCGTCGTCCAAGGTATTCAAACCTAGGAACTCTAATACCACCTGTGACGACCTTGGATTTTTCAACCCAGTGTGTCCTGTGATGACCCGAAACAGATCCAAAATGTGGAAGCAAAAGAAGGAAGGTGACCTCTAGAGATGTACATCATCCCTAAAGCACCAAAATGACTCCATATGAAGCTATGGAACTCAAATGAGCCAAGCAATAAAACAAGGATGCCAAACCCGAAAAGAAATGAACCAAGGGCAAAATGGTCATTTCACACTAAAATAGGTGCCACCGTGCACACCATTGGAAAGACAACGAAAAATTAACAAGAATAAACTCAAGAATCGCATGATTTGGAGTCCGGACGACAAAGATATCAAGTTCTGAAGTCGAAGGAAGGGAAACCCTATCCCGGTTCGAACCAAAAACAGACACTACCTTACCAAAACTTGAATATCTTGAGTTACAAGAAGAATCTGAAGCTCTAATTGGTACCACTGGAAATTTTATTTTGACACGGTCAATTTAGACTCAAGAACGGACCAATTTGAAGTTAAAATAAAGAAGATATGATAGTTTGAAGTCGGAGGTGCAGTGCTGAACCAAGACACAAATACACACACACATGAACAGTACCTCGAGCGCTCGTGCAAGGGCTTCGAGCGCTCGAACGGCACACGCCCAAGGGCCAAAACTCTCTGCCCTATCTTGGAGCGCTCGAACCCCCCTTAGAGCGCTCGAACAACTGTAGGCTACACCTGAAATGCAACCTTGAAATGCAATTTTGAGGACTCTCTGGGCCTTTTTGAAAAAAACACAAAGAAGAAACCCCTCTCAAAATTATGTTTTCTAGTCAACCATGTCAATACCAACCTTAATTTTTTTAAGTGAAAATCCCAAAATGCCCTTATGCTCAGTTTAGGCTCAAAACGGCAAAAATGTGAAAATAAGTCGGTCCTCAAAGGAAGTCTTCAATCCACGGAAAAGAGTCTTGGAAACCATCCTCAGGCACTCAAGATGACACTAAGTGACGAGAAACCAAATTCAGAAAGGAAAAGATCAACGGAAAAAAAATATCCGTAAAATCTAAGAAAAGGAAAGAAAAGAAAATGACCGGGTCATTACAAATGGAATAATAATAACCATTCTAGTGTTTGCTAGGACCAATTTAAAATTTAGAATGGAATAAATTTCAAATTGAGTTCTCCAAAATATCCCTCTTAGTAACAAATAAATTAAATTAACAAAATGACATTCGTCTATAATTTTTTAAAAATAAATAGGGGCAATGGCGGTGGTGGATGGTGGTGACGATGGTGGTGGAGGTGGAAAACAGTAGTGGTGTAGGTGGCGGTGGTGGCAATGGTGGAAGGTAGAGGTGGTGGAAGGCGGTTGCAGTAGTGTGGTGGTGGTGGTAAAAGGAGATAGTGGTGTAGGTGGCAGTGGTGGAAGCTAATGGAGGTGATTATGGTGGTTGTGGAATATGGCAGTGGTGGAAGGCCGTGGCAGTGGTGGAATATGGTAGTGGTGGTGGCAACATTGGTGATGGCAAATGCTGGAAGGCAGTGGCGGTGGTAGGAGGTGGTGGAAGGCAGTGGCAGTGGCGGTGGCGATGGCGATGGTGGTAGTGAAAGGCGATGGTGGTAGTGAAAGGCGGTGGCAGTGAAAGGCGATGGTGCATGGTACTGGTGGAAAGTGGTGGCGATAGAAGACAGTGGTGATGGAAGATGGTGGTGGTGGTGGTGATGGAAGGTAGTGGCGGTAGCGGTAGTGAAAGGCGGTGGCAATGGCGGCGGTTGTGGTGGTGGTGGTGGAAGGTGATAGCTGTGGTGAAAGGTGGTGCTGGGGGTGGTGGTGGTTATGGTGAAAGGTGGTGGCGATGGTGGAAGGTGGTGGCAGTAGCGGTGGCGATGGTGGTGGCTATGGTGAAAGGTGGTAGCGGTGGTGGTAGTGGCAGTGGTTGCGGCAAAGGAAGGCGGTATCAGTGGAAAGCGGTGGGCGGTGGTGAAAGTTGTTGGCGGTAGTGGTGGTGGAAGGTGGTGGAAGTTAGTGGTGGTGGTGGTGAAAGGCGGAGGTGGTTGTGGTGATGGTGGTGGTGGTGGTAAAAGTCAGTGGCAGTGGTTGGTGGTGGTGGTGAAAGGTAGAGTTGGTTTGGACTTGAACTTGTGGGATTTTTTTATAAATTGATTTTTTTAAAAAAAATTACTTGGGAATAGAATGGTCATTCCATATGTTTAGTTGTGAAATGGATTTTCATTCAATTGGAATGTCATTCCCACTTTAAATTGCATACCAAACAAAGAAATGGAATAGTTGGAATGGGCATTCCATTCCATTCCTGCACACTAAACACAGCAGTGGTGTAATGATAATAATAGAGAAGGAAAAAAAACGTGGAGTGAAGAGAAAAGAAAGAGATAGAAAAAACGAAGGTGAGATAAGGATAGAAATCTTTTAGGCCCACTGTTAAATCTCTATCGGTTAGGAATAAGAAGGAAATAAAAAAATAAAAAATAAAAAAATGGGGCCTTTCTATTGGCCGGGTTTGAATAATAAAAAGAAATATAAATTTTGAAAAGATGACAACTTAAGGAAATAAAAAAATTTGGGACTTCCTAATGGCTAAGTGCATCTCCAACCGTTGTGTACATATATATATATATATATATATATATATATATATATATATATATATATTGTAAATCTGATGTGTCATAATAGATTTACATAAAAAATTTGGATTATTTATTTTTAAATAAATCATACAACAATTTTATATATTGGTGACGTGACAGTGTATCTTAACAGACGACTAGAGATATAAAAATAAAAAATAAAAATTAAAAATTAAAAAATTTGCACATCATACGTGGCAATGTATATTTTACACAAAAAAACATTTTAACAACGGTTGAAGATGCTTTAAGGTTTAATAATAAGAGGAGAAAATTGTTTTAAGTATTGTTATAATATAAGAAAATTTAAAATTTTGGGATTTTCCTATTCATAGTGGCCTTAGGCGTAAGTCACCTAAGGTTCCAGCCGCCTAACTAACTCCGACCAAGTCGATTAGACTCCCACCAATTGGCGGGGCCCACCAAAAGGGATGTGTGTAGTCAGGAGTGAGATTATAACAAATAATATAAAGTGAAAAAGAGATTAGATTACCACCTTTGGATAAGAGGCTGTCAATTAGATCATTGTAGAATTTGACACCCAGTGGGTTCACTCCTGCACTTATCTTACCACCTGAAATGAGAATAATGATGTAAAACTCAATATCTCAACCCTAATCCGATTAATGAAAAAACAAACTGTTGTTCTCATTTAATTGAAGAAATGTTGATGATGGTGATGAAATATTTAATATCATAGGTTGTCCCAGTTGGAGAATTAAAATATCAAGCGATTATAGTGATTTAATTGAATAAATGACGTTAATATAAAATTAGATATCTTGAACACCTATGGATTGATAAAAAAATCAAGTAGTTATTTATCAAAAAGATAATTCAATTAGCCCCAATTGGATTGATGAAGCATCAAGTGGATGTTATTAGGTACGGAAAAGTCAAATGGATTTCCAATAAAAGAGATAATGGATGTGAAATATCATAATCCTTTTCACATTGCAATGAAAAGATTTTGGGATAAATTCCAGACGATAAATTTGATTCGACTATTACCTCTAAATAGCATTGTCCTAACTGACAATTATACAATGGTTACCTAAAAAGAACTTATTCTCTATATAAGCTATGAGAGAAATAGATCAGAACCCCTGGCCCTTCCCCTGCACCTCCTCTACTCCATCCACCTCATAACATTGCATCTTCCAGCAAACCTCACAAAGCCATTATTCCATCTTCCAGCAATGAACCTTCCATATTATCCTTATCCTTGCTATCATCTGCCTCTTTCTATAACAGATTATGGTCTGATGTTGTCCAATACTATCACCATAGGATGACCTTTAATTACTTTGAGCCTCCTTCTTCCAACTAAAATTTGTTTATTGACCTTCCAAAGGAATTGGCCATTGAAGAGAGAAACTTTTGGGGATCAAATCATTTTATTGGACTCTCTTCTCATAAGAGAGTTCCATTTAAGGTTATTCAAACCTTTGTATCCAAGCTATGGACCAAGTATGGGCTTATTGATACTATTTTTGGCGAAAATGGATCCTACTTGTTCAAATGAAGCAGACAGTGTGTTGTCAAGAAGACCATGGAGCATTGTTGGTCATCCTTTTTTCCCTTAAGAAATGGAATTGCTTTGAGCTCCCACCTCCAGAAGCTTTTTACCCACTTGAGTAAAGTTCTTTAACATCCTATTATAGTTTTGGACTACAAAAGGCTCAAGTCACATAGCTAGTTCAGTTGGTATTCCCTTCTATACTGAACAAGCAACTAAAAGAAGGAATAACCTTAAGTTTTTCAGATTACGTGTGGATTTTGATCTTAGCAAGCCCTTCCTTAATGAAGTTCAGTTGAAATTTATGATATCAATTATGTTGAGATTAGAATTGAGTACCAAGGGCTTCCACAAATCAATCACAAATGCAGGCAAATCAACCATACTATTGCATCTTGCCCTATGATTATCTCTGATACTCTTCAAGCAAAAGATAAAGCCCTGCAACTAACAGCCCCATCAATGATTGGGTTATTGTAAGAAGAAAGCAAAGGAACCTTCCTAAGGTGGCTAAAGCTCTTTTTTTTTTTTCCCAAAAATCCCCCTCAACAACAATAATTACTTCCCTTAACTAGTTATTTCCCCTTTCTCTCATTAATCTTGATTAATCTAATCCCCTTCCTCTTTCTGATCCTATCGTTTCCACTCCAGCTGAGCCCTCTACGCCTTCTACTTCAAAGTGTGGCACTCTCTACATTGATGGAAATTCCTCCCACCACTCTTTGCAATAAAAACCTATTTGGCAATCCAAAAATATCTCATTCACTATATGTTTCTGTTCGCGCGATTTTTGGTCTTATGCCGGTCGATGGACTTTTTCGAGCGTGTCAGAGTATTTGTATAAAACACTCAAAATATTGAATTGAACACAAGCCTATCCCTTTTTTCGATGGTTGACTTTCAAGCGAATGTATGGGAGAGAGACTAGTAAGAACTCCCAGCAAGGTTCTTTTATGCCTTGGTGCAAGGACTTTTTATCTAAGGTGTTTAAAAGAAATAAAAATGCAATTTAAAGTAAATGAAAATGAACTGGCTGAATTGAAATGGACTAAAAAGTAAATTGGCCGAATTAAAATGAACTGAAAAGTAATGCTTATAATAAAATGAACACGCCGAATTAAAATGACATGAATCTGATCAAAGATTTGTCATTGAATCCGTTGCATAAAACAAAGATTAAATTTGTAAATAGCATAATCAAGCATTGCAAAAGAAGAATAAGTTATTGGAACTTAGTTTCTTCGAATAAAATTTGCCATTTGGACAAATGAATTGAAGATAAAGATGACGTTGAGTCATTTGATGAATTTTTTATTCATGCTGATTTGTGGTTGGTGCTGGACAAATTGGAATGGGATTACAATACTTCTATTTATAGAAGTTTTAATCAACTTATTTCCTAATTCATTGCTCTGAAAATCCTCTTTTCTTTGATTTTCTTTTCTTCGTGATACTTACTAGGTCAAAACCCAATATATTTCTACTTCTCTTCACGGCTTGCTTTAGTAGAAAATCCTTGCTAAAATAACCTTCCTTGATTTAGTCGCATATAACTTGCCAGAACATTGCTGAAAAGTTGCTTAAAAGTTGCTAATTTTTAGCAACTTCCTTCCATAGGCTCGGCTGATGTATTTTCCTTAAATAGCCTAATAGCCATTTGCAATTTTTTAAACTCCTGCGACTGTTCCTTCTTTTTGGAATTCCTTCTCCAATTAAACCCCAATTTCATAGGGTTTAGCTAAATCTTTAGTGTCCCAGTTTAAACAAAATATTTGAATTAAATCAAATATTAGTTACCAAATTTCAGCAACAACCTTATTGGATAAGGTGGCTGAATTCCTAGATTTTCTCATCTTGTTTCTCAATTGGTCGTCTTTTCTTGGAACCATACTAAACACTTGTCGACTTCTCACTGGTCTACGTCACCGCTGAGGTGGCTGCCAAGTTTTGGTGCCAACAAATGCCCCCATAATTTCAAATGCTCTTATCACTTATGATTAGAGGCTTTTGGAATTTTAATAGGCCAAAACTTGAATTTCAAATTTTCAATAATAAATTCTTACTCACCCAACCACCTGCCTTAATGGTTATCAATTCCCATTAAAGGCGGTGATTGGACAAATCTACTACTACATTCCACTAGTATTTAGTTCTATGTTTAAAACCCTGAAATTATTCTTTTTACCCTTCAATTGCTATCTCTGAAATTCCCTTCCTTAAGTCATGACAATCAAAATTCCTTCTCTTGACTCTCTTTCATGGCTCCTCAGAAAACCAAATCGACTAATTCTACCTCAGCCCCTCAATCTTCAGATCCTTCAACTCATGCCAATATCATTGAGAAATCCCTAAAAACCCTTTCTTCTTACAAGTATTGCCTCAATACTCTCATAAATCTTCGCACTGATTTCAAGGGTTTGGGTCCTGCCTTTCTTGATGAAGCTCCTGCATTCATATCGCCATTCTATCCCTCAGCTGATGTACTTTCGTTTCTTCAAACTTTTCCTCCTAATGAAAATGGCAGTTTGCCACATTTTCATTTTAGGACATGGCATATCCCCAATGATGCTTGGATCAATTGGGTCGATCAAGTTGGGGCTGTGAAAGGAAAGACGTGGAAGGCTTGCGGTATTTATGACGCCATCCAACTAAGCAAAACCAATTTTGCTCAAGACAAGGCCCTAATGGTAGCGGCTATGTTCAATCGGTCGACCACCACCAACTCCTTACACTTGAAGTGTGGCATGATGGCTCCCACCATTCAAGACATATGCTATTTAACCAGCCTCAAACCTTTTGGGATCGATGTGAGCAGCTTATTGGTAGAGGAGGATTCTCCTTTCGTTTTCCCCTCTAAATAAACTAGAACCAAATCTTCAGAATCTTCATATGGCAAGTATTTGAATTCTACCATGCACCCTCGTTTCCCTGTAAATGATGCCGAACACATTACTTTCTTATTGGCCTGGCTGAATAAGTTTATTCTATGTGTGTCGGCCTTTTAAGTTACCAAAGATTACATACATGTGGCCATCGCTTTTTCCAGAGTTAAACCCCTCGCTTTAGCTCCTTTGGTCCTTTCTTATTTATACAGGGGAATTTATAACCTGCTTACCTTTAACTTTGGACGTTATGGTGGCCCCCTTTGGCTATTTCAGATTTGGTTACAAGTTTATTTCCCTGAGTTAGGGCTTGTGGTAAGGCCTTTGGCCAATGACCCACTCCTTTCTATGAGTTATGCATCGACCGTACCTAAATCTCACTCATTTGGAGATTGGTTCAATTTTTTCTACTCTGGCTGCGAGCACAGGGCCATAAGCCGATTTCTTCAATTTCCCATTGTTCTCAAGCCCCTCAATGGCTGACTCCTCCTCAAGGAGTATCCACAAAGAAAACTACTGATGAACTTTCGGCTATGTGGGCCAATTTTTTTATTTCAAAGGATCTTCATTTCAATACTAGTCCTTTAGGGATAGTGAATACAAAGGTTGGGGTTGAATTCTATAACCCCAGTCAGCTTGCTAGGTAATTCGGCCTAACCCAAATGATTCCTATGCCCCCTTATCTTTCCTTCAATAAAAACTTTCATCGGTGTGTGGTATTTTCCGGATGACTCTTATGTTCAAAATGTATCCTCTTGGTTCTCTAGTTTGCAAGCTGGATTCAAATTCTAACCCTTTATCAAAAACCTGGCCTCAGATTCCAGTTTTGACCAATGGTGGTCATCTTATATTACTTCTACCAAGACGGCTGAATGTCGGTCCCCTGTCATCAAAATCCTCGAATCATTCAAGTTTATATCTGTTGCCTTTGAAGGGGCTTTCATAATTACTAGTGCTGTTACTCCAAAGAAAGTGCCTCAAAAAAATCCTCCCAAAGGCAAGAAACAAACAGCCAAAAAACTTCCTCTCTCTCAGCCAACAGATGCTCCAACAAGGATTAATAAAGAAAGAAAAGCTAAGGCCAAGGCTACAGCTAGCCTACTCAAAGGTATAATCTTCCTTTATTTTTCATACTTATGTATACTAAAAGCTTCAGACTAAATTCTCTTACCC